TAGAATTAGGTAACAAAACTTTGACACCTATAGAAGACGTAAATCATATTTATATATCATCTACAATAGCTAAGACAATCATAGGGACAAATGAAAAAGATGTTATAAAAGCACGTAAAAAAATGGCAAAAGGTAAAGCTGATGCTGTAAAACTCGATGCGAATCTTTCTATAAAGTTGGTCAAAGAAACCACTGTACTTCAAGGAAATAATATTGTTGGATTTGTAGAAGGGAAAACAAAAAAAGATGAAATAATTATAGTTTCAGCGCATTACGACCACCTAGGCAAAAGAGGAGATGAAGTTTTTAATGGGGCAGATGACAATGGTTCTGGTACGTCTACCGTTATGGAGTTAGCTCAAGCAGTCATGCAAACAACTATAGAAGGAAATACCCCTGATAGAAGCATCGCTTTTGTTTGGTTTTGCGGTGAAGAAAAAGGACTTTTAGGCTCACTTTATTATTCTCAAAATCCAATATTTCCACTTGACAAAACAGTAGCCAATGTCAATATTGATATGGTAGGAAGAATAGATGACAGCTACAAAAACAATCCGAACTATGTATATGTCATTGGTTCCGACAGACTCAGTAGTGATCTTCACCGTATCAATGAAGAAGTAAATCAAAGGTATTCTCAACTTACACTTGACTACACCTACAATTCAGAAAAGGACCCTAACAACTATTATTACAGGTCAGATCATTACAATTTTGCAAAAAATGGTGTTCCTGCAATTTTCTTTTTTAATGGTACCCATGCTGATTACCACAGAACGACTGATGATGTGGAAAAAATAGATTTTGATGTCATGGCAAGCCGTGGCAAACATATCTTTCACGTCATTTGGGAAATTGCCAATAGAGCAAATAGAATTGTTGTAGACGGAGAAATAAAGTAAGAACTTAATCGAACATTTCTGTTTTACAACTAGTAGTGTAGAATTCATAACCATATTCTGACAAGATTCCTTAGCAGGATTTTGGTAGTATCTCCAAAAAAAGTAATTTTAGGCCTTAAAGATACTTATCATGACCTTAGGACAGTTTTTTGAAGCCGTTTCGCTAGAGCCTTCTATCGTTCTTTTCTATTTTTTCGCATTACCATTTACAGCCTTCTTGGCTACTATATTTGGTAAAGGAGAAGGTCATCTCTCGCCTTGGAAATATCTTTACACTGTCCTTGTTTACCTTGCATGTATCCCAGGAATATTTGCCATAACGCTCAATATCTACATGTTCCTATTTGAGAGACAACCCATTATGGAGACAAATCTATTTACACAGATCCTACCAGTCCTATGTATGTTAATAACAATATGGATGATAAGACGTAATGTAAGTCTAAATGATGTACCAGGTTTTGACAAAATAAGTAGCCTTGTATTTATCATCACTGTTTTAATTTCTATGATGTGGATCTTAGAGAAAATGCACATTGTTGTATTTACCTACATGCCTTTCTATCAGTTTGTACTCATTTTTATTTTCTTTTTGGTTCTTATAAGATTAGGATGGAGTAGAATGATAAGATAATGTAAAGATTATCTAGATAAAATGACTCTTATCCCATCTGTGCTTGACCGGTTGTCCAGATGAAGAACTTTATATACAAACTAAACATTATCCTACTACCTTTGTATTTTACATGATAAAACAATCATGGACACAAACCAATCAACATGGCTGCAAGTAGAAGCGTGGTTTCATTCGCAAGGATGGACTCCCATGAACTTTCAAAAGGAAACTTGGGTTCATATAATTGATGGGAAAAGTGGTCTTGTCAATGCACCGACAGGCAGCGGCAAAACATATTCGCTTTTTATTGGCATACTCCTAGATTTTATCATCAAAAATCCCAATCATACATCAAAATCTCACCATGGTTTGCAATTGATTTGGGTATCCCCGATTCGTGCACTTGCCAAAGAAATTCAAATGTCCTGTCAAAGAGCAGCAGAAGCTCTTGGCGTGAAATGGCAAATCGAAATCCGAACGGGTGACTCCACGACAAAAGAGCGGCAGGCACAACTCAAACGGCCGCCTGAAGTTATCATCACTACGCCTGAAAGTATCCATGTATTGATGGCCACAAAAGGTTATCCCAACTTTTTTGGTACTTTAAAAACAATAGTAGTCGATGAATGGCATGAACTCATTGGGTCTAAACGTGGTGTACAGACAGAACTAGCCATATCAAGACTCAAAGGGTTGATCCCAAACCTAAAAATCTGGGGCATATCAGCCACCATAGGAAATATGGATGAAGCAATAGAAGTACTTTTGTTTCCAGTACAGTCATCTGATAGGGTGCTTGTGCGTGCGCATGTAAAAAAGGACATAGAACTACATTCTGTATATCCTGATATCATAGAAGAGTTCCCATGGGCAGGACACCTTGGTCTCAAACTGGCAGATAAAGTCATCGAAATCATTAAAAGCAGTAAAACGAGCTTGATTTTTACAAATACTCGGGCACAATGCGAAATATGGTATCAAAAACTTTTAGAATTAGATCCCGACTTATCTGGTCAGATAGCCATGCATCATGGTTCTATCAGTAAAGAAATAAGAGATTGGGTGGAAGAAGCATTATATGAAGGCAGAATAATGGCTGTCGTTTGTACATCTAGCTTAGATCTTGGTGTAGACTTCAGACCAGTAGATACCATCATTCAGATAGGCAGTCCTAAGGGTGTGTCTAGATTCGTACAAAGGGCGGGAAGGAGTGGACATCAGCCAGGAGCAAAAAGCCAAATACATTTTGTACCTACTCATGCTCTCGAACTCATAGAAGCAGCAGGTCTTAGAATGGCCATCGATCAAAATGAGCTAGAAGAGAGAATTCCTTACATTAGAAGTTTTGATGTACTTGTTCAATATCTCATGACGCTAGCTGTCTCTGAAGGTTTTTATCCAGATAAAATTCTAAATGAAGTCAAAAATACATTCTGTTATGCTTCCATTTCTAATGAAGAATGGCAAAAAGTATTAAATTTCCTATTAATGGGAAGCGATTCGCTGCAAGCTTATGATGAATATAAAAAGATAGAGAAAACAGATGACGGAAGGTACATCGTAGCAGATAAAAAGAAAATTCTAAAACACAAGTTGTCAATAGGCACTATTGCATCTGATCAAATGATCCAAATCAAACTTCTAAAAGGAACTAGAATTGGAGCTATAGAAGAATATTTTGTTTCACAATTAAGTCCTGGTGATGTATTTTGGTTTGCTGGTAGAGCATTAGAATTCATCCGCATTAAAGAAATGGTGGCTCAAGTAAAACTAAGTAAAGCAACTTCAGGCAAAATACCTTCTTACATGGGAGGCAGAATGCCTTGGAGTTCACAATTATCAAGAGTGTTGCAAGAGAAGGTGTACAGATATACGGAAGGCATCATTGAAGATAAAGAAATCTCTGTCCTTAAACCCATCTTTGACAAACAACAAAGTAGATCTTTGATACCAAAGCGAGATGAATTCCTAGTAGAATATTTCCAAAGTAAAGAAGGGTTTCATTTATTGATGTATCCATTTGAAGGGAGAAGCGTTCATGAAGGCATGAGTGCTTTAATTGCAAAACGAATTTCAATGATGTTTCCGATTTCATTTTCCATAGCAATGAATGACTTTGGATTTGAATTACTTTCTGATCAAGAAATTGACGTAGATACTGTAGTGACAAAAGAACTTTTTAGTACCGAACATCTTACATCTGATATTCAATCAAGTATCAATAATGTAGAGATGGCTAGAAGGAAGTTCAGAGATATTGCCAAAATTTCAGGATTGATTTTTACAGGTTATCCGGGAAAACAAAAAAAAGAAAGACATTTGCAAGCATCGTCCCAACTCATTTTTGACGTTTTTCGAGAGTATGAACCTGACAATTTGCTCTATTTGCAAACTTATGAAGAAGTGATGACCTTCCAACTTGAAGAAATAAGAATGCGTCAATGTCTTAAAAAAATCATGGCTAGCCACATTATGATTAGCAAACCAAATAAAGCTACCCCATTTTCATTTCCTATCTTAGTGGATAGATTAAGAGAAAAACTGACTTCAGAAAAGCTGGAAGACCGTATTAAAAAAATGACAGCAGATTTGATAAAATAAAGATCGGCCCCATTATTCCGACAACAATTCCTTCACTCTTACCACTTCATTCAGATAAGAATGTAGATAGACTGGAACTTCACCAAGATTATTGTCAAATAACCACACTCTATCTACTTGTCCAGATTTGTATCTGAGATATCTGCCACCCTGATCATAAGCATCAGGTATACCGAATGTCACCTTAGTTTCGTCTAGTAATTGTTGTGGAAAATTCTTCTTTAAATCTTTGGCCAGATCAAATTTCTGGGAAGACAATAAAACAAATTTTCTATCATCATTCAGTGTTTCAGAAGGATAGATATCAGTGGTGTCTTCATACAAATTAGCATCGTCAAGTCTGAATATCTCTATACATTTTTCGCCACCACAAAAACCATAATATTGTCCAAACTCAACATAGTCTGAATCTTGAGACATTTCATTTTTATCGCAAGAAACACATAATAGACCTATGAGTAAAAACAAGTGTACTGATTTAATAAATGTTTTCATAACGATTTTTTTTGATTCACTATTAAAGACGTAATATAAACGAAGAAAGGTTTGTTCTTATGTATAGTTTTTCAAAAAACTGATATCAATAAAAAAGCCCGATCATTTCTGATCAGGCTTTGCGTCCCCTCTAGGACTTGAACCTAGGACCTACGGATTAACAGTCCGGCGCTCTAACCGACTGAGCTAAGGAGACATTTGAGATTGAGTTTGAGTTTGCTCTTACGTTTTTATCAAATGCGGTGCAAATGTAAAACACTTATGTAAATTGCGCAATAAAATTGACCATTATTTTTAAAAAAAAATTCTTCACACTAAAGATGACGTTCTGCATGATAACTACTTCTTACCAAAGGACCACTTTCTACAAAACTAAAACCTCGTTTCATGCCTTCTTCCTGATAGTAAGCGAATGTATCAGGATGTACAAATTCAGCTACTTCGATGTGCATTTTGGTTGGTTGGAGGTATTGCCCTATGGTGAGTACATCACAACCATGGACGGCTAAATCATCCATTATTTTTATTACTTCATCTTTGGTTTCGCCAAGACCTACCATGATACCAGATTTGGTACGTTTGCCATAAGCTTTGGTTCTCTTTATTTGCTCAAGTGAACGTTCATATTTGGCTTGTGGCCTTACTTTACGATAAAGGCTCTCTACTGTTTCCATATTGTGAGAGACCACTTCTTGTCCAGCACTGATCATTCTCTCTAATGCATCCCAGTTTGCCTTCACATCAGGTATCAATGTCTCGATAGTCGTCTGTGGAGATGATTCTTTTATTTTGACTACAGTTTGATACCATATTTCGGCACCACGATCTTTGAGTTCATCTCTATTGACTGAAGTAAGCACGGCATGTTTTACCTGCATAAGGAAGATAGCTTCTGCTACTCTGCGTGGCTCATCTTCATCATATTCGTTTGGTCTGCCTGTTTTCACGGCACAAAACGAACAACTCCTGGTACACACATTGCCCAAAATCATAAAAGTTGCGGTACCTGCACCCCAACATTCACCCATATTGGGACAGTTTCCACTTTGGCAGATCGTATGTAACTTATATTCATCTACCAAATTTCTCACCCTACGATAATCTTCCCCAATAGGAAGTTTCACCCTTAACCAATCTGGTTTTTTTCTTTTCTCTTCAGTTGGCATTGCTGCAACTACAGGAAGTTCGACCACTGTATATTAAATTTGTTGTGAATTAATTTGTCCTCTTACCAAACTCTAACGTTGCATAAAAGTTTATAAAATAAGGTTTGCTACTGATGGCTTGTGTTTCTACCATAATAGGAATCTTACGAATAAATAGGTCTCCCATGATTCCTACTTCTAGAGATCTAGCATACTCTTCGAAAGCTCCAAGGGAAAAGAATAAACCAAATTTTCCTTGAATCCCAGGTACTATACTAATCTCTGACCATCCTTTATTACCAGGTGCACCACCGAATACTGAATTATAATCCAAAAACTTAGCTGCATTCTCTTCAGAATATTTTTCAGGGCGCAACTCTGTAAAAAACCGACCATCTTGTTCAAAATTATAAATAAGCTCAAGGTAATAAGGTCTTAATATAGCAAGTGATGGTCCTGCCTCGTAATTATATCCCATTGCGACACCTTTCCTTCTAGCCTTGTCGGTGATAAGTTTTTTTACACCTTTGCCAGCCCTGATG